TGAATCAGTTTTAGGGATACGGGAACCAATTATTTTTTTTTCACTGGCAGGATAATTGAACTTAAGTGTCAGTTTCAAACTTGCATTTAGCATACTCATATCATTATGGTCTTTTTAAAAGTTCTTTATTCGACTGAACAAGTCAGCTGAATATCTTAACATCAATGGTATACAACACTGACAATTTGAAGAATTAAACAAGCGACGCATCTGGGAAACTATTTTGTAGACGTTTCGCCAACCAGTGACTTCATCAATACAGTGCTTGTTGTGCCCCGCCCACCCATAACAATGCCTTCCTCTACTGCACCCCATCAGACTCCAGTATATAAACGCCCATCTTCCTGCATGTGCTTCACTTGTCCTGTTTCCTGACAAACATATTTATCTGCGCTTCAGATCCATCAGACTACGGTACTGACCGCCTGCTGCTAGGCTGAGGCACTGATTACATCAAATACCTAGTCTTCAAGCTTCTGTTTTTGTCCATCTATGGTACTGAAAAAGTCACTGGTTGGCAAACGTCTACAAAATAAAGATATCCAGATGTTGCACGTGTGACTATTTCTTCAAGTTTGCTGTATAATTTGATTAGTTTAATATATTATATATAAATATATTCATCCGGTTTACAGTAGTTAAGGACAGGAGAAAAGTTTGAACAAGATACCGAATTGTTGCACGTATTTGGTATTGTGGATCATTATTATTATTATTATTATAATCAAGGGGGAAGCGCTAAACCCGGAGGATTATACAGCGCCTGGGGGGGGGATATGTGGAAGGCATTCAGGCTTAATTCGGGGAACTGGAGCACAGATCCAATTCCCTAAATCAAGAGCCCCTCACCAACATCAAGGAACCTTCCTTGAGGGGTTGTGGATCATTAATAAAACAGTTCTTTTATAATTCAAACTAAGCGCTAAACCTACCAGGGTCATACAGCGCTGCTACAACAGCTCTTAATCATGTAATATTTCCTTCGCAGCCTAGAAGACCTGATCTGAACAGTACATTTTACCAGGACTCCCGGGAAGCAGATTATTATAATCAAGGGGGAAGCGCTAAATCCAGAGGATTATACAGCGCCTGGGGGGGGGACGTGGAAGGCATTCAGGCTTAATTTGGGAAACTGGAGCACAGATCCAATTCCCTAAATCAAGAGCCCCTCACCAACATCAAGGAACCTTCCTTGAGGGGACGGGAAGCAGAGCCTAATACGGCGGTAGCTGTGGCGGCCCTATAAACCCTCAACACCACCACCATGGGAAGGGACACGAGTGTGAAGTTCAGGACATTTAAAAGGAAACTGATCGCCACGATTGGATTCACCAGTGGAGCTGATAAGTCAGTCGTGGCGAAAGGTTTCATAAAATGTCCTTACCCAACCTAACCTATCTAAATGTCATGAACTGTACACAAAGTGTCTTTTATTGTTGTTGTTTGTATGACCATACCATTTCACCTTAAGTGTGTCCCGTAGCTCGATCGTTAAGCGCACTCAGCTCACACACTGAGGTCTGGAGTTCGAATCTCCGGTACGGCTGGAAAATATTAGGACGTATTTCCCTAAGACACCTGCTGTCCCTGATCGCCCATAAGTATATTATTATTATCAAAAAGAAGCGCTAAGCCACAAGGGCTATACAGCCCTACCCATAAGCATAAAATGGGTACCTGCGTGTTAGTAGACTGGTGTGGGTCGCATCCTGGGACAAAACTGACCTAACTTGCCTGAAATGCTCAGCATAACAAGCGACTATCTGTATAGTAGTATGTCAGTGATGTCAGTTAGGACTGTATACCTTGTACATGTACTTGTAGAAATAAAGATATTATATTAACAACGTTTCACTGTATCATGTCGCCCTTTCTCACGTTACTCAAGAGCGAAACGTTGGCATGCCAAGTTTTCGACATGTATAAGTTTCTTCATCACTGTTGGCAACACGACTTTGTATCCTGGTAAGTAATGTATCGTGAAAGATTATATTCAAGGGGAAGCGCTAAACCCCATTGGAGTCAAAGCGGCTGGTGGGGTGGAAGGTAATCGTATTTGATGCAACGGGATGGTAGCTCCAATTCCTTGGATCAAGACTCCCTATGAAGACACTCCTCTTGAAGTGTAGTGATGAAGCATGTAAACTGTAGGCAACAAACTGGAGCCAGTTGCATTACGTTCATAAAAAGCGAAATGTGGGCCGTGAACCACGGGCTATACAGCATACCTTCCACAAAGTGACCCGCCCTTGAAGGCTGGTCTGGGACGGAGCAAGTTCTTCATGCACATTTAAGAGATGACAAGTGAGCGTACCTAAGAGGGGGGCAAAACAAAAAGAAAGGCAAAAAGCTTGGATCGAAGCTTAGGATTATCATCAAAAATGAAGCGCTAAACCATCGAAGCTTCAGAGGCGGAGCCTTGAACCCTACAAACACAAATCGGTGCGTACAGTCACAGCAGCAGTTCCTAGGAGTTGGTACGAGCGAAAATAGCTGTGTGCCGGGGAACCTTCCTGGCCCTCAGGCACTGTGCCAACTGCTGTTATAGGCAGGCATTTTCGCCTAAAGGCTTCTACGTATGTTCAGTGATGCCTACTAGATTCCCTCTACATTGGCACTGGTTTCTTAGAAGTTTTAGTGACACTTCTGAGAGAGAGAGGACAGGAGAGAGGATAGAGAATACACACTATAACAGTATGACGTAACCAGTGTCAGCAGGTGACAATGTTCACAGGACAGTTCATAATGGATCATACATTAATGTTCAACGCGCCCTTGGCTCAATACTTTCATAGTTTTCACTACACACATTTCGAGTGTTGTGAGAATCTCAATTTTAAACAATTATATAAAGCAACTGTGTATGCAATTTTATATAAGCTCTGATCTGATCAGGTTCTGATCCACCAGGAGGCCTGGTCACAGACCGGGCCGCGGGGGCGTTGACCCCCGGAACTCTCTCCAGGTAAACTACCAGTATTCATTTCCAATGCCTGACTGAGTTCAGCTGACACTAGCTGGAATACAGGAAAAAATACAACATTTTTCAAACTCTCATTTATTCATAACAACGTATATATATTAGTGTAGTACAGGCACACACATATATTTACAGGACACTGACACACTAGACCCAACCAACACGCATCACCAAACACAGCCTCTGACTTAGGTACTAGTGACAGCCGCTGCATCGTCAGGAGGACTGCCATTTGAGGTAGAACCTGGAATCTGTGGCTCCGTCTCCATCTTCTCCATCGAAGCTGATTGTTCCAGCTTCTTGTCCACTTCTTCAGCTGCAGTGGCCACTTGAGTACTGGCACCGTCTGTGGTGGGCTCCACGGGTTGCTGTTGCTGTTCATGTTGCTGCTGCACATTCTCCTGAATGCCACTGGTGTCTGACACTTGTTGGGCAACGTCGTCCGTAGGCGGGTGTTCGTTAGTGGCTGATATTGGCTGTCCCTGATTTGTATCGGTTTCCATTGACTCTGCAACAGGTTCCTGACTCTTGACTGCAACTTGCGGTTCACTAGCTTTGGTTTCTAGCGCGGATATAGCAGCGTTAATATCCTTAATGGCTGCTCTTCGCGCCTGTCGTACGTCATCACAGCCATCAGGGTCGATGTTGTCTAGCTGCAGCAACGCGCGCGTCAGCATTTCATCCAAGTAAAGGAACTCTCTGTTTTTCTTGGTTCCTTCGAAGGCATTAACTTTTTCTCTGTATTCTTCCACCGACGCTCGCACAGCTTCGATCTGCGCCAAGCGAGAGTCCTTGGCAAGGGGCTGTGTTTTGCTCTGAGGCCCTGAATCTGTCTGGTCTTGAGGTTGAGGTTGTGGCTGTTGCTGAGACATATGCTCAGGCATTGGCATAGGCACAGGCTGTGGAATAGGTTCAGGGGGTGCTTGCTGTGTCTGAGGATGTGGTTTGAACATAGGCTTCTGTTGCCTCTGCTGCTGATGTGCCTGTTGCTGTTGTGGCTGTTGCTGATGTGACTGATACTGTTGGTGATGTTGCTGTTGTGGCTGATAATGTTGCTGCTGTTGCTGATAATGTTGCTGCTGTGGTTGATAATGCTGCTGCTGCTGCTGTGCCTGGTACTGCTGTTGTTGCTGCCAAGGTTGTCCCCACTGGGTAGAAGGCTTTGGTTGGTTACTAGTCTCTTCGTTAACTAGGGGTCCATCGCGTCCCTCCACGAAGATAGGAATGTTGCGGACAACACTTGGTCTCTGGTTCCCCTGCCTGGTAGGCTGCTGAGGTGGTGGTGGCGGCGGTGGCTGTTGCTGCTGCTGATATGTGTGCTGTTGTGGCTCTTGATTCTGCTGTGGGTATTGCTGATACTGATGTTGAGGTTGTTGATATTGCCACTGAGAGTCTGGCATCTGTTGTTGCTGTTGCTCCTCAGAAAACTGCTGAGGTTGTTGCTGATGCTGAGTCTCTTGCTGCTGTTTGTTTGCAGGCACAAAGGGTTTGGGCACAGTATTGAACTTGTGTGGGAGTGGAGAAACCGGTGTTGCTTTGGAGTGTGGCGAGCCGGGGCACTGTGGCGCCTGTGGCGTTATGCTGATCTTTGAAACAAACCTCTGTTGGGTTAGTGGAGTCTGAGGATCCTGTGGCAGGGGCTGTTCTGCCATCTCTGGGGGCGCAGACGCGCATCGAGTCGTCCTTGGAACCTCCTCTGAGTGGTCGCTGGCGTCCACAGCAGAGGTGGTGCGAACTGGGTACTGTGTGCTCTTCCTAAGGCCCGCTACTCTCGATGAGAGTGGCGCCACAGGTTCATTTTCCTGTTGTGCGGAAGTTGGTGGCGCTGGGGCCTCTATACGAATGGGTATCTCATGGCTGGGGGCATCTGACGACCCACCAGAGCACTGTGACGACTTGTCTGTGGCGGCAGTGTCGTAGGAGTCGTCCTCAGAGGTGGCGCTCATGGCAGAGCCTCCTGAACTGCGCCTCTCTCGCCATGGGCCACCACGGCGGCCCACGGTAGCAAAGTGTGGTGTGTGGGACATACGTGCTGCCAAGTCACTCATGTCCTCATCCTCAGGTACCCAGGCGGGCATCCTGAATGCCTGGTGGCGTCCACGAAGGTCATCCATTCCTCGACGGTTAAAATCTTCACCGTCTTCAGCCTGGGAAAAGAAGATATGTGGTTAGAAGCTACACAATACATTCGTGAAAATGCAGTTATGAACATGAAAATAAACAAGAATGTGACGATTATGGCGATAAGAATAATGCATTTGTAATAGCAACATATTAAATTAGTAAATAAACATTGCAGTAATATAAAAATAGAATTACAGCAAAGGTAACATGGGTGGATGAGCCAGATTTTACATCCTGATCCAAGTACACTGGTACAGGTGGCCTAGAAGGTGATGGACTACTACTATAATCAGGTGGGAGGGTGAAAAGATAAACCCATAGGGAACGAAATATGAAATACCGAAACGATGGGAAAGGAGAAGTGCAGTATAATAACCCTTTGTCGTCAACATCTCGCTCATGCAGCTTTATCAAGTCACAGATCTGTGACTTGATAAAAGTCCATTGGGTGGACGAAACTTTGCTAATAAATTATTGCATAACACTGCATCATTTCCTTACACAGGATAAAACATTCCAGTAGGGCTGGAGGTTTCTAACATTTTTTCTGGATATGACGCACAATAGTCTGCTAATACAAAGGTGCCTGTTCTTACTGCTTGGTGGGCAGGGGTATAAGGAAACTTGTCCAAATTTTTCTCCATGCCAGGGAATCGAACCCAGGACCTCGTGATTGAGAGAGTAATGCTCTCACCAGTGAGCTAATTGGTACCACTAGGCACCGCCTTGAAGAAAGGAGGGAGAGGGAAAGTGGTGGGGAAGGTGGACGTAATAAGGAGGGGGGAAGGTTTGGACTGCAGGGGTGAACGTCCTTCAGGTGGGCTAAGAGGTGGGGATGGGTGGTGGTGAGGGAAGTGGGGAGGATGGTGGTGGTGAGGTAAATGGAGGGGGAAATGGTGGTGGTAATTCTGAGGAATAATGGTGGTGGTGGTAGTGGTGGTGGAGGGACTTAGTATGAGTGGTGGCATAGAGGATAGAGGCTAGTTTATAGTGAGCTTCGTATCCATTTTATGGAGAGTAAACAGAGTTACACTCACTGTTACATGTGTAATGCTGTACTGACATTTGTACAAATATACTCTACTTGTTGCCAGCAAATTTAAATTATGCATTCAGAATTTCTGGTATTGCATTTTCATTAACAAGATTCCTTCACAACAGGTTCCATTATTACTCTCTATATTAACAATAATAGGCAAATATGTACATACGGCTCAAAGAAAATTACCATAATGCCGACTGATTACTTTACATTTGGTTTAACCATGTTTATGCCAACTGGCCGTAGCAGGTGTAACCTAGCCTAAGCCAGTCTTCGGCATCAGTCAGTAGGCACGGAAAACCCCACTTAAAAATGATGGGCTGAATACTTCGACCTCTGAAGTACTCTTCAGCAGTACTTGAACGAGAGATACAAAACATCCTCTTCATTATTTTTATTCGTCTCTAAGTGGTTTCCTCTGTTTCCGACGACTCATGTTCATTACACTATCACACTGTATCCTTCAGTCTGTTTGCATTGCAAGATTATCCGTAAATGGGCTTATAACGTTCACGTTATGACGAGTTCCAGATCTACACTGTTTCTAAATGCTTTCAAATTTGTAATTTTCTGTTATTTCTAAGGGCTTCTAGCAAACTCAGCAGATTTACAAAGACTATCAAAGAGGAAAAAAGTGTCAATGCGAGATGAAATGCAGTACAATTTTGCATAAATTCCTTCCACTTCAGTTTTGTATCTTTTCCACTAAGGAATACTTGAAGTCCCTCGAACAATATCACTCGAAACGCCTTCGAGAAAAGATGCATCATAATCTACCTGGAAATTTTAGGACTGGTTTTAAATATGCGCACAGAAATTATTTCCTATGAAAGCAAGAGGCTTGGGAAACTTAGCAAAACACCAACCATGAAAAGCAGAGGTACCGTAAGTATTCAGTGTGAAGGGACAAAGAATTGAACACATGAGGGGAGTTGCCAATAACTCCTGGTTGTCTTCAAGATGGCTAGCAGCAACAACCTGGTTAATTAATCAGGCCATCCACCAGGAGGCCAAGTATGGGAGCGGGTCGAGGGGCGTTAATTCTCGAACTCTTCAAGGAGATTAGATGCGGTTCGAATGAGTGTCCAGCCATTCACTGATAGCAGAATCAGGGAATGGCAAGGAGTCGAGATCATCACAAGTATATGAACTGCCAAAGAGTTCAGTGTGAAATGGAGAAGCCTAATCATAAATTATTATGCCTAGCTTAACCCGGTTCTTAGAGTTCAAATCTGAAGTGGCAACCAGAGGTGATGCAGCCTTGCCAGTGGACTGTATTGCCATTTGTGTATATAATTTGTGATACTGGCTAAGGTATATACTGGCAAGGATTTTCTCTATGCTGATTGCCTTTGCGATTAGCTGAAGCAAAGGAATATTGGTTATTGTACTAAAGTGCTAGACACGTATGAGTTAGGCAGCGCTGCAAGGGGTTACTAGTGATGTGCTTCTTGGGGTACACTTTTAGCAACAAGATGTCAAAATAACACAGCTTGAAGTGCTGTGACAGACCTGTAACCAGTTTCAAGAACTCTGCTCTCGCAACCCAGCTTGTGGCCAGGCTGTTGCTGTTTGTGGCCAGCTGGCCCGCTGGCCCACTTATCAGTCTGGCTGATCTGCTCTTGTCAACAATGATCCAGTTCATGCAGGCTGCGGAATTTAATATCATTACATGTTTATGTTAGCCATTTGGATTTGTGTTTACACATTTATTATGATTTATGGTGGCAATATTTCTCAGCCTCGCAAGACTACAGTGTTAAGTACAATTATCCTATCAATGAAAATGGAAGTAGGAAACGAAATGGAAAACAAAAAGTAAAAATTACAGCGAATAAAAAACAAAGTGAGGACACGAGTTGACATGAGAGAAACGAGGTGACAAGAGATGGTATTAGGGAAACATGGTGAGAACAAAAATTTTAAGATGAAACTGAGCACGATAAAGTGCTACATATTAGGTAATTATATAAAATAATCACACTGTGACAAGGCCGCTGCTGATACCTCACTTCAGAGAATTTCTCCTATCTGTTGATAGTATCGCAACATTGCACACAGCTCCTGACGACACACGAGAGTGCGAAGGATCTAGAGCTAAAGATTTCCATCCCATGTGGCTTGTTCTGCAATGTCAAATAAGTATAGGGAAACTTGTTCACGTATTTTGTAAAAGCGGTACACTACTCTGACAAATTTAGTTCAGCCGAGACCACTAACTGTACCTGCCTCCCTCCCTCAAGGGAGCTGCATTGACGGTAAGGGGTTCCTGACACTAAGAATTAGACTTTACTTACCTTTTCTTGCATCTAACTTGATTGCCTCCCATTTCCCTAGGCGTTTTATGATACCTAATGAGGAAATAAATGGTATAAAATACCGACACAATGGAAATATAAACACATATGCAGTATAATGTGATCCTTTATTGACTACGTTTCGCCCACACAGTGGGCTTTTTCAAGTCACAAACAGATCTGTTTGTGACTTGAAAAAGCCCACTGTGTGGGCGAAACGTAGTCAATAAAGGATCACATTATACTGCACATGTGTTTATATTTCCATCCCTAATGTGTTTGTTTGGAGCAACAGAACGGCAGGGATCACTTAATACAAAAAGCTAAATGCTATCCCAATATGTTCTGCAACAAGAGTCGTCATACGTCAAGACATACATACAAGGAAGCGTTCAACTTTACAATACTCTTAAGCCGAAGTTTAGGCCGCTTCCCAAGAATGCAAACACTAGCCATAATTATATGCTAGGGTCCATTTTTTAATGTCATTTGTAGTTAATATTTGACATGCATCATTCACACATAATTAGTACATCGAATGGGAGTAATAATCATTACGAGTAGACATAATGCAAAGTAGACTAATTAGGCGTAAACTAAATGCGAGTAGACCAACTGCTATGCAAGTAAAACTGACATATTTGCAACTAATAAGACATTTACCGTGCCTACATTTCGCTCACCGGGAGTTTGAACAGGCTCCTGCTGAGCTAAACAGTAAATATCTTGGTTGCACACGTGTCCGGTTACCTAAGTGGCTGAACTTTACACAAGTGTCATCCACAGCTAGTGGGTGTAACACTATGCCATCCACAACTACATTTTCCCCATTATTGTTAATAAATCACCAGCAGGGATGCTACCATGCAGCCTACCTTACTATAAAACGTAACTTAGCGCTTAACAGAGAATGTTCAGAAACTCACGTTGAAAAATCTAAGAAAATTGTAGTAGTAAGATAACAGGTTGTGACTGGACATACAAGGTGGGAGGGAAGTTTATAATTGTCTTGAACCCAAGGTTCATCAGCCTAGCGTGGAGTGCCTGCATACATATGCAAGCGGCCTAATATTGTCCACTTGTTTTATCATTATGCAAACACAGACAAGCGGTCATACTAAGAATTAATACAAGTCTGATGGAGATAAAGGCACTGATGTTAAATTCAAGACAAAGTGAAGCGTTTTGTTATAAGTGGCTTCTCTATTAGGACTGAAAAAAAGTCACTCGTGACTCAACTTTCTCAGTAAATGCCTTAACTGTAAGTGACTTATCTACTTAGGACTGTATCGCCATACCTGGTCTCCAGCCAGGTCTTAGTGAGAAAAGTGCGTCTTTAGTCAAATGTCTAAGCTTACATGAAAGTGAAAAATATTCAACCGAAGTCATGCGAAGAGCGGAACAAACTTCTAAAGGTCATTGAAGCCACCTCTTCGGATAACTTTAAGAGTGAGAATGGTTGACCTGGAGTAGGCTCTGCCTACCATAACCATGCCAGTGGACCTACTGCAGTACCGATCAACAGTCAATCAAAGATGAGCCCATTTCTCTTGAGCAGACTTGCTCCCGACGTCGAAGTTCCTCGAGACGTAGAAGACCTGACCCTCCTTAAAAATGCATATCTTATGATAATATATTTTTTCTCTGGGTGGAGCGCTAAGGCAGAGGAGCGCCTCAGCGCCAT